TGCCAGGCTGTGCCAATTCATTCCACGCCGGTGGCGCTGGGCTGTGCCAAGCCGTGCCAGATCGGCAGCGAGGCGGTGCCAAACCGCGCCGGCAGTGCCGGGCTGTGCCAAAGCGAGGGTGCCCCGGGGCTCAGAGGGCCACGCAGGTGCAGTAGTGGCGCAGTTTGCAGGGCAGGATGCCCCGGTTGATCTGGTGGAACTCCACGAGCTGGATGAGGTCGGCGAAGCGCGTCTGCCCGTCGTCCATGGTGAAGTAGAGCCGACCCTCCTCCTCACTCTGCCGGGGGCCAGGTGGGTCAGGACCCCACAGCCCCGCACCCCCCGGCCCCTCTGGGCCCCCCCCGACCTCCCCCAGCCCCCCTAGAGCCCCCCACTCACGGGCAGGATGAGGTAGTGTTTGATGCGCTGCAGGTGGCACAGGGACAGCACGAAGCCCTTGGGGTTCCGTTGGCTCTCCCGCACCAGGAAGACGCTGCAAGGCCCAAGGTGGGGGTGGTCACTGCTGGCCCAGGGCCCCTCTGTGTCACCTATGGGGTCCCACACGCCTTCCACAAACTCTGGGGGCCCAGTACCCCCTGCAAACCCTGGGAACCCCAAACCCATGGGGAGTCCCAACCTCTCTGGGATCCCCCAGCAAGGCTCCCCCACCCCTACAGGTGTCCTGCATCCCCCCTCCAGGACCCCACAACCCTTGGGCTCGCATCTGCTGTCCCATGTCCTCCCCCCCAAGCCCCGGGGACCCCTCCCAGGCTCCCATACCCGTCCACCAGGCCCTGGCGGCCGATGAGCTGCTGGGTGTCCTCGCGGGAGATGCGCCCGTGGAACCAGGGCTGGGTGCGGTGGATGGCTGTGGGGACAGGGGTGTCAGGCTCAGGGGGGACACCACGCCCTGGGCATGGACCCCCCCCCAAGTGTGCAGCCCCCCCCCCCCTCCATCTCACCGGCGCTGAGCGGGGAGCTGTGGCAGGCGGCGGGCAGGCTGTACCGGTGCGTCGTCTTCTTCTGGCCGGGCAGAGCAAGGGGTGGGCGTTAGGGTGGGCTCAGGGGGGCCCCCTCCTCTCCCCTCCCTGCATCCCAACTCACCCTCCAGGCCTGAGCCTCCTCCAGGGCCGCCGTCAGCACCTCGCTGGGGTTCTCGATCACCCGGCCCGTGCACCCCGAGAAGTCCATGGCCACCAGGGCGTTGTCAGAGACGCTTCTCTGCGGGGGAATGGGGGGGTCACTGGGGGTCCCCCCATGGGCTGGGGGCTGCGGGGGGCAGGGGGCACTCACCAGGGGAGTGGGGCCGATCCAGGGGGGTTGGCTCAGCCGTGCCTGTGCTTGCTGGTAGTTGCGGTAGAGCTGCATCCCGTACTGGGGAGGGGGGATGGTCCCGTCAGTGGGGAGGCCTGTGGGGCCTCTGTCCCACTGTGGGGTGGGGGGGGGGGGGACAGGGACCTCCACAGCCACCCAGTGCCCACACTGGGGTGGGGATCTCTGTGTCCACCCCACATGGGGACAGGGACACCCATCCTGAACCTCTTCCAGCACCCCCCCATCATCCCCCTAGAATCCCTCCAGCATCACCTCAGTATCCCCCCAGTAATCCTCGGGAATTCCCCCAGCGTCCCTCTGGCATCATTCCAGGCTCCCCTCCAGCCTCCCCCCGGTCTCCCTGGGCACAGGGCCGGTCCCACCCTGCCGGGGCTCACCTTGAAGAGCCGGAACGCCGCCATCCAGCAGCTGCGGCT